GGGTCTCCTTTTAATGCATACCTGAACCTTGGTTGTCTACATTTCATGGTCATGGAGTGATGACTCAGACAGACATCATCTTGTAATTTTGCACAGTAAAAGTGTCTCCCTCCATCACTCTCCGTCACATACTTGAAAATAAATTCAAAACCATCTTGCCACAATATTCTTGACTTCACTCAATTCTAACAGACCTTTTCCTAGATCAGACAGTATTTGCTAGAGATGTTAATAGGCAAGTGGATGATTCTTACATATTTGGCAGCTGAGAAACTTTGAGATAACATTTTCAGAGGGATCAAGGCATTTCTGGGAACAGCTTGCCAATGAATCTCGCAGTTATTTTATTGGGATACATGGTGTGTTCTGCTGAAAGGAGGGAAGAGAAATAATATCTTGTTAGCAGCAGCCAAGTTACCAGTTGCAAGTTACCACAAACTTTGTAGCAAACACCCCACTCAGATATTTAGAGATTTTATTATATGCAACAGTTTATTAATTCTAAACAAAGATACTAATAAGGTTTTTTAAGATTTAGGTTATGAAGTGAATTGGATGCAAATGTGCATACACAAACAACAGGCAAATTAAAATATTGACAATGTAATTTAGTTCATATTCATTCAGGAGTACGTCCAGCAATATTCAATGGGCTTTATTTTCAGGTGTCTTGAGCATGGATGAGAATCACCAGACCCTCTAAATGGTGTTAGACTGCAACTCCCAGCATCCCTAGGTAGCATAGTCAGTGGTGAGGAATGCTGGAAGCTGCAGTCTATAATAACATCTGGAGGGTCATATGATGATTCCCTCCCTGATTTCGAAGATTATGGCATTAATACATGGATTGTTTTCAATCACAGCCAATTTGGCCAATTTGACACAGTTGAAATTGCTCCAAAAGTTGTCTGTGGTTTTGAAGAGGGACACTTTCCACAGAATCATAAAGTTAGGAGAGACCTCTGTGGTCATCCAGACTAACCCCCTATCAGTGGAGGAATCCATTACTAAAGTATAATAGAATAACATCCAAAATCCACAAAACAGTGATACATCTATTGGGCCAACCAAAAATGTACAAAATACATAATCCAAGCTTTCAGAGCTCCACTGGCTTCTTCATCAAGTGTTTAAAAAATCATAAAGGAGAAGGGGAAAAAATGATGATGTGAAAATCACAGTTCTACCTTTTGTCAAGATGTTTTCATTGTTGTCAGCTAAGATGGTTTGGAGGGATACCCATGCAGACAGAAACCACTCTTCTCTTTGGCCATGTGGGCTCTGGAAGACAAAGACTGGTGCCACACTGCAGAAATAAAGCGGTTTGACACCACTTTAACTGCTGTGGCTCAATGCTACAGAATCCTGAGATTTGTAGTTGTGTGAGATACTTAGCCTTCCCTGTCAGAGAGGTCTGGAGCCCGACCAAACCACAAACCTCAGGGTTCCATAGCATTCAGCCATGGAAATTAAAGTGATGTCAAACTGCTTTATTTCTGCATAGTGTGGCATGAAAACCAGGTAGTAAAATGGAAACTCCCATTAGCCACATTAGTAAAAGTAGCTTCCCTTCAGATCCAAGCTGTTTCTGTCCTGACT